CTTAAAACAATAACTAAATAAATGAATAAATACTGACAAAATATTACTTCACAAATAAGCTGAAATGACCAAATAGTGGTAGACACACAAACAAATAAATAAATAAATAAATAAATAAAATAAATAAATAAATACATACATACATAGAAAGAAGAAAATACTTCGTTTTAAGTGAAATTGAATCAAAAATTAGTTACAGAATAAATCAATAAATACTCACAAAAAAATATTGGCAAACTGTCTCTTTAAGTGAGAAATTTGAGCAATAGATTGAGGTACACCCAATCTATTGAGGTCTTAGAGGAAGCTCTCCAAGCCTTTAAAGCATTTCTTTTTACTTTCAAATTGAAAATTTTGCCATTTGCAAAGGCTAATTAATTGTATCCTTGGGTCATCTGGCTATATAATCAAACGTTTTATTAAAGTAGATTGATTTAGATGCTGCTTATATTGCCCCCTTTGAAAAACAGCCGACAAAATAATAGTAATTTCTTTCTCATCACACTGATGGAGGCTGTTGATGATAAAACAACATATTCATTACTCAGCACCGGAAAAGCCGCTTTCCCCTTCAGATAATTACAATGGAGTAAATCATGCAAATACACATCTCACACAGCACTCCAACCTCAACCCCACACAACCTGCTCCTTTCACAAGCGCTTGAGACGGGGAAGACTGAGATGTTTGTCCTGAAAATGAGTCAATAGGTGTCACAGGAAGAGTACAGGGTTATAAAATGCATGCAGATGGAAGATCAGAATATATATATATATATGTGTGTATGAAGAGTTAATTTGCAAAAACAGATAAAAAATTATGTTTTTTCATTGTGCATTGCAATTAATCTCAATCAAACTGCAGTTGAGTTATTTAGATTGGGTTCAAAATAACTAAAAATTGCAGCTAACTAACACAATAAAACACAATAAAAACATGATTACATAATAAAAAACATGATTTTTGAAAATGTAACAAAACGGAGTTATCTGCCTTTGCAAATAAACGCTTAATTTATTTATTACGCTTCATACGCTTTATATATATATATGGATATTACATATGAATGTATAATGCTCAAAAAGGTACAAACTTTTGATTACTAAATATTGCAGTTTAAAAGAGCTGACTTTATCGTTTTTATTTATCTCATTATTTGTTTTATTTTTATATATATATTTTTTTTATTTTTCAAATATTTCTATTATGCCCAACACGGCTGCATTTATTTGATTAAAAATACTGCAAAAGCAGTACATTTGTGTAATTTTATTACAATTTAAAATAGCTGTTCTCCATGAGAATGTATGTTAAAATGCATTTATTTCTGTGATGCGCAGCTGAATTTTCAGCATCATTACTCCAGTCTTCAGTGTCACATGAACTTCAGAAATCATTCTCATATGCTGATTTGCTGCTCAAGAAACATTTCTGATTATTATCAATGTTGAAAACAGTTGAGCTGACAAAACAAACTTTTGTGGAAACTGTGATACAGTTTATTTTTCAGGATTCTTTGATGAATAAAAAGTTCAAAAGAACAGCATTTACTTGAAACAGATCTTTTCATCTTAATCATCCAGCAGGTGACAACTGCATGTCTGATCACTTAAAGCAGCAGCTCTCCTCAACAAGACGCATGATTTGCACAATCATTCATATCTGCAGCACAAACGCAAGCACTAATTGCACTGTTCCATTATTGTGGACGTCCTCGAGTGCATCCAAACACTTGTTTAATCAGTGCTGTTAAATTGTAATGAACACGGTGACACGAGAGGTTTGGACAGATGGCTTTCTCGCAGATAAAGACAGAAGCTACTGGCTGTTTGTATTTTCCGAATGTGAAGAAAAGAGGGCATCTGAGGACCGGCTCGTATCAGCCCGCATCTGCTGCTTTCTAAAAACTTTCCATTTGGACTAATTGCTCAGCCTCTGCTGTCGTCTCTTTATGAAAGCCTATCTCTTGTATCTTATCAGAGTCACATTAGAGCAGACGTATTCATCTTCAAATGGCTTTTTAAGAGCTCATTAGAGATAAGCAATGAGAGAGATATTAAACAGACGTGAAGGGTCGCACACACACACACACACGCGCACGACAGATGCACACACAACACCATGTACTGTCTTCCTTTTAATTCTCTCTCTAAAAACACAGATTTGAATCCAGTGAAATACTGGGAATGGAAAATTTGTGTATTGACTATGTAAACAGTCAAACAACAAACTACTCACTATTTAGTTAAACTATAGTAAAGCTACTCTTTTCAGTAAGTTAAGTTACTAACAAAAAGTTGCTAACTGAAGCGGTTTAAAGAAGCAATGCATAATATAGAAATATATCATATTTATTCTATTTTGAAAGAAGTCTCTTCAGCTCACCAAGGCTGCATTTATTTGATTAAAAATACAGTAAAAACTGTAAAATTGTGAAATATTATTAAAATTTTAAATAACTGTTTTCATATGAATATACTGTAAAATGTAAAACAAAAACAAATAGAAAAAAGAAGCATATAGACCAGAAGAATCAAAAGAAACCAGACCATAAGAATCAAAATGCATCAGTGAATCATTATTTTGATTCTGTTCATTTAAATGAACTATTTGCATAAACTGATTCACTAGAATAAATGGGTCTTTCCAGGGAAAAGACCTACAAGAAGAACACATAA